ATTATTGTCTTTCAGATTTTTTTTATTTTGGCTAGTAAATGAGTTGAGGCTGGTCAAATCATTATAATGTGCCATTATTGTTGTCTGGAAGCAGGAAAAGGTCTTAAAGTGATGGACAAAGCAATGACATCCGTCGTCTTTAAAGTGACATCAGAGTTGGAGTCCAGTGAATGCCCAGCTGTATGGATTAGCCCAGAGCTCACCTAGGCAAGTATATGGGTAGGAGGAAAGCAGACAGATGTTCACTCGTTTGTGCCTAAAGGTTTTGTGGACACTTTATATTTAAATTGAAGTAAGTTAATCAAAGATGAGTATCTGCCAGAGAAGCAAGCTGACTTGTAATGCTGAAAAGAACAGAAATGGAAGCAAGTTATTGACTGGTGTGTATAATCACAGCCTGGCTTTTATATTTTTGTTGTAATCCTAAGCAATGAGGGTTAAATTTTTTCCTCAGAAGCACATAGATAACTGCATATTCAAGGACAGGATCATTGTGTAGAAGGAAAAAAAAAAAAGCAGAAATCCTCATCAACTTCAATCCCTACTTGTTATTTTTTTGAATAATATTGATTTTCATTTGCTAGTTTAATGGTAGTTTTCCCCTTTGCAAATGGAAAAGAGCCACTTAGTGAATCATCAACTCAGTAGCAGCAACGCCAAACCAGAAAATACAAGCAGCATAGCTGAGGAGAAAATGTACATTTCATTAGCAAAAGTCAGTCAAGTTCCTGTGAAAATACAGTTTTGTGTTCAAAACAGTGATAACATTTTTAATAAAGAACTCCCACCTGACTGCCTTATGCCAACATCCACAAAAATCCGAGCTGGCAGACTCCCACGCAAACATCTCTCTCAGCGAAACTTCCATTTTTGCAGTATCAAGCAAAGCTGAAGGAGAAGAAAAACTAAATGAAATAGCTTTGTCTTCTTAAAAAGTGCACAGGGGTTACACTGTCTGTGTGTCACCTTTACACTGAAGTTGGCTATCCGTGACTAACAAATTGAAATACCAAAGCACAGGAAGTGTGCAGTCCAGTGGACAATGTCTGATATAATGCATGTAATTGGAATATGTGTGAAAATGCCACAGAGTGATTCTTGGGTTGCATGGCATGTAAAATGAGAGATTAGGGTTTGTTCCGAGTTGCTAGTTGCAGTTCTGGCCCTACTGAAGCCCATTCAAATTTGCTGTCGGTTTCAATCAGATTAAGATTTCTTCCCTGGTCCTCACTGTCCAGAGCAGAAGGATTGGAAATGTGGGCTGGAGTAGTTGTTTGGGTTTTGCCCTGCATTTCCTATCACTCTTCTGTGGCTTCACAGGCTAATATTCCAGGTAGATGCTAAGGAGAGGCTCATGTTGTATGTGGACACAGGATTCACTGGACTGGGTCATCTTGCCTGGGGTTTCCTCATGATACACACTGAAGAGTAACTTCCTTTTTGTGTAGCCCCTTTGCAAGGAAGGAAGAAAAGTGTATGTGGATCCATAGTCATGTGTGATTTTAAATCTTCCCTGTGGCAAGAAAATAAACTGTGTTTATTTTGGTTGTGGTCTCAGACCAGGCTGAAGACTATAGGAGCTGGTCAGGAAAGGAACCAAAAATCAGATCAAGCTGGAAACACTTGTATTCAGGTCAGCTGCGCAACCTGGATTTTAGGGTGTGTCATTGCTGTAAAGTTATTCAGAACCTTTTCTTTTGCATAATTTTTATTGATTAAAAAAAAAGGAAGAGGGAGAGAGTCAGTCCTCAGCTGGCATAAATAGACACAGCTTTACTGAAGTCAGTGTGCATCTGTTCGTTCTGGTGAAGGATATAATTACCCCATATTGCACTAATTTTATCAGCCATTGCTAATGTTTTCTGTGTGATCCTCTAAAGCTTTTCAAGAATGAAAGCTCTGTCTGCTGCTCCCAGCACTTTGCCTCTGTGACATATGAATTGTGCCAAATCCGTTTTGAGTTTTTGTTTTTAAGCTCTGAGTACAAGGGTGAAGTGAAAATAAAGTGTGAATAATGGGCTTTCTCTCAAAGGCAATGTGATATTGCGTTGAGCTGAAAAATTTACTCTCATACAGATCAGCCCTGCCAGTATGAAGGGCTGATTGATGCTGAGCACGATCCAGCTGATATCTGATATTGGGGAGGGGGAGGGCTCTTCAGTGTTGCTGACAAAGCTCTAACAAGATCCAGGGACTGGAAGCTGAAGTTAGGCAAATTCAACCTCACAATAAAATGCAGATCATGAGCATAATAAAATATTATAACAATTTATTTGAGTTCACGATGAATTCATCATTAAGAAGTCTTTAGTATTTTATTTTAAAATCAGTCTTCAGTTCCTGGGAGAAATTCTATGGCTGGTCTGTGACCTGGAGGATCATGGTTAACCCTTTTGGTTTTGTAATTGAAGTGCACTTGTTAACTTCTCTTCCTCACTAGACCATAAGGAGAACACATTTACCAGAAATGCCCTTAATAATTCTCATAGCACCTGCAGATCTGCACAGAGATAACTGTTCTAATTAAATCCTGTCCTTTAGGACTACATAGGATTGCCCACAGAGATGGGAGGAATTGTGTGCTTTCCTTCCCTTCTCCTCCTTTCCCACCCTACTTGTTCAGGTTGGATCTTCAGGGCTTATTTTCTAAAAGTTTTTTCTTTTTTACCTTCTTTTTCTTTACTACAGCTTGGGAGCGGCTCACCTGATGGGATGTAGCTCAGGAAATAGATTGCCCATGATCACAGTTGCCTTTGTCAATGGTGACACACATCAGGCTGTCCCAACCTCCGCCACTCAGCAGTTCGTTCACCTCTGCAGTATTCGACAATGTGTGCTCTTGAGAGCTGGAATGATGTTTCAGTGTAATAGAAGCCTTTGGGCTTCATATAGAGACATCTGGATCGAGCTTAATGATATGGGATACACAAGAAGTCATATTAGTCACAGGAGCTGATTCCCTCTTGATCTGAAACTCTTTAAAATATATGAAATTAGAGGTTCCTAAACAAAAGAGCGCTCTGCTCATCTCACAGGATTGGGCTCCTGTTATTTCCCTGCCTGAAAAGCAAACAGTCCCCACCTAGTGAATTTTCAGGTCTGGAAATACCTTCTTGAACAGTGTGCTCACCTGCAGGCTAGTTGACGAGTGCCAGGGGTGTCTGAATATTGCCGCCTAAAATCAAATGTTTCTGTTATTGTGGGTATTGAGGAAACTCAAGAACAACATGGGTTTGTGAAATCATTATATTCAAGAAGCAGCTCTCTCTTCTCCTGCATTTATAGCCCTGGTAGTATCACATTCTGTTTTGACAGCTGTCAGAAGTTAAATGAAAGATATTTGGGGAGAGGAGGGTTGAGCTACAGGAGAATTATTTGCAGCGCTCGCCAACAGTTGCGGTTTTCGCTTGGTAACATACATGCTGTCTGTTATTTATTCGCTTCTTCTTTGCTAAACTTCTGTGCCTTTTATTTCTGTGGCTTTTTCAGTGGGGACCAGGGCCTTCCTAGCTGTGCTACTTTCGGTAGAAAACGTCTTCCTGATACCTTGCATGTGAAATGCAGTCCATGCCCTGCCCTAGTTTGTCTCCAGTTCTTCCTCGGTGACTATCAACTTCCAGACTTCTGCTGCTGCCACTGTCCTCCTTTCATCTCCCAGACTGAAGCTACAGTTTTGCCATGAGGAAAAATAATTTACACTAGCTCTTTCCTTAATTTTTTTTCTTCCCACATGACACCATTCATTCTTACAGATTACTGCAGCAGTTTGGTTTTTAATGCGAAACTCTGCGAAAGGTCTTTCACTTCACTGTTTAATAAGTGCTTATGCTCACTGTTTATATTGGAGGGGGGAAGGTTCATAGGTGTTAGAGCACACGGGGCTTCTGTGCTTGCGTTCTGGTTTGGATTCATGCCTGCAGGCTGTGGAAATAAACATTATTTTAACTTTACCTTATTTTTAGCCTTAACTCGGGAGCACCTGGAACTTTTTCTGTAGTCAACCCTTTTTATTACCCTATAATTGCGAATAAATACGCTCTCACGATGTTAGTTGCACTTGCCAGGGAATTTGCAGAGGCTCAGACGATGAAGACCGCTGTTCCTCCTTTGGATCACACGGTGGCAGGAAACACCCGGCTCATGTTCTTGTGCCGTACCGGTTGGGTAGATGGGATCAGCTATTTCCGTATGCAGGGCTTTGCAGCCAATATGTTACTCTGGAAAATTAAGTCCGTTTAATTGTCTGTGCAGGGAGAGCTTATTTTATAGCAAAGTATTATGCATTCATCCACAACTTGCAGAATGTGTATTAAGGGTGTGTATAGGATTCAATGAGGTATTATATCTGACAGTCGATATATGTATGTAATAGTGTAGAAAATATAATTATGTAGCTGGAATATATATAGGCATTTTGTTTTAATTAGGCTTTTGATTAAATATAAAAGTGCAATTAGGAGTGACAGATACAGTAGATCCTGGTAGACTACATGACAGTTTTTGGCTAGAAAAACTCCTAAGCTGATTTTTTTGTCAGTCTTGATTTTTTCTAAACATCTCAGTAGCTGCTCTATTGAATCTTTGGTCTGAAGTACTCCTTATTCTCTCTCTCTCTTTCTCTGTGTATATGTGCTTATCTGTTTGTGTGTTCACAGTATTTCTGTTGGTAACAGATGTTATATTAATTTACAAGAAAACACCATGACAATACGTTTTAACTGTGTTTTACCAAGCTTCTCAGTCTTTCATTTCTGAACAATGCTACTATTTCTGTGAATGTGTCTCTGAACACATGAGCATGAGCAATTTGTTAAAGGCTTAACATGTGAGAGACTTATAAGATATAATGTAGGAGGGAAACGATATTATTATGAAAATACAAAGCAGACATTACAAGATCTACTTGTATAACTGACTCCAATACAGACATGAACAAGTAGCTTTAAGTAGTATGTCTCTTATTACACTGAGCTGTTCTTTATGTTCTAAGCCTTAGTTTTGCAGAATGCCTGGGCCAGGGTGGGTTTACACCAATCCTCTGTGCACTACTTTTGAAAATAAGACTATTAACTAATTATGGATATAAAGCTATTTATAGACTCCTCTTAAACATCTTGGCTCGGGCTTTTGTCTGGTATCTTGACTAAATAAATCAATCCTTACACAGTGTGACTGGATAGAGGAAAAGGAGCAAAACCCACTTCTGTTGCTGTCAGTGTATCTCAAATATGGTTAGTCATATTTTAGTGTAGTTTTGCATCATTTCACAGTGGGTCTGCAGGGCCTTCCAGCGTTACCCTGAAGTTGTGAGCCAAACACAGCAGCTTCCTGGCTTTGTCACGAGTCTGCTGCAGGACCTTGGGCAAATCCTTCTCTTTGCTTTTCTTCAGCTCTGTTTCCTCTTTCCATTTACCTTGATTACTGACTATTTAGACACTCCTGGGCAAGACTGTGCCTCTAACACACATTTGCACTGCTCATAGGTGTTAAGAACCTATTGGCAGTTGAGGTCCAGGTTACCAAAACACAAAGAGCTCACGTGTTGCTTAATATTCACTGAGGGGACGAACAGGCACAGCTCCTCCTGGACACGATAGAGGCTGGTGGCCAGCCTTCAGAGGTGATTTTCTGCACATCAGTAAATCCCCACGTTTTCATTACATTGCTTACTTAGGCTCAAGATTGAAGTCGGCACCGTTGGAGGGGCTCCTGCAGACTACGGTGCAGTGACACGGGCAGCTGTTTCCCATGTCTGTCTGTTACAACTTGTCATTTTATTTCACAGTATGGAAGGTTCGAGAAATGACAGGATGAAATAAGCACAGAGAGAACCCACTGTTTTATGTGGCCGTGCTAACGAATAAGCTGGGAGTGAAGTTAACTTCATGTGAAGCCGTTTAAATTATTTATTTTCAATCCTGGAAGTGTACTTAACATGTTGTTAAGGCAGAGCCATGTTGACAGGGTGACATTAATTAGCCCACTGGAAACACATCACAGTAGTGGAAACAATTGTTCGCAGCTATCATTCATGGCTCTGGGTAAAGCTGCAGCCTTTGCAAATCTTGGCAAAGAGTTTTTCCCCCTCCATCCGTGGAAGTTCCTTCTACATCCACCCCCAGCTGCAAACTAGCTCTTTACTCACAGCAATAAAATACAAAGTTCAATGGTTGTGCGTTTCTTCCCCCTTCTGCCCTCTTTTTTATTATTATTATTATTATTTTTATTTGTGAGCTGGGTGATTGCATGATTGATCTCTCCATTAGACATGACACATCTTAAAAATGTGAGGATCTTCATTCAGGGATCCAGCAGTATAAGTACATATGCTTACTGTTCCTGTAAATTCTTTCCCACAACTCCCTTAATGATTCAGTTCACACTCCTTAATTCGTACCAAGACTGTTGTGTCCTTCAGAACAGGAAATTATTGCATCTGGGGTTTGCATTCTTTGCAAAGGCTTTGGTTTAAACATCCCTACTGAGAACTGGATGTGACTTGAGTAGCATTTGTATGGATGTGTGCTAATAAAAGTGAGGAATTGACTTTTTCCTCCTTTCTTGTTCAGCATTGAAATGAGTTAAGGCCTGCAAAATGACTCAGCTGAGGAGTGCTGGGAATATACCTACAAGTAAATGAGTGCCTGGCTACTTTGAGTTGCTACATTAAGTTTTTCTAGATGCTCCTGCTCCAAGGTTAATGCAATTAGAGTTTCTACTGGAAGAGCGCATGTATGCAGTGTTTGTTCATGACAGTGTGAGGCTGTGCCTAATAACATCTGACTCTGTTTGCAGGTTAGGCCAAAGACCCTGATTCCAGACAGCCTCCCTATCTCCCCGTGCAGAGACCAACCTTCCAAGCAGCCTCCTACCTTCCAGAAGGCAACTGTAGTCAGCATCAAAAACCCCAGCCCTGCCCTCCCGACTGCCAATAACACCGTCAGCCATGTACAGACACCTAACAGCCAGTCACAAAGTGTCACCGAGTCTACAGCTATTTCATCACCTCTGAGCAGTGCAGGGGTGGCGTACGCCATCATTTCCACCTCCCCCAACAATGCAACTCCTATCAGCACCAGCGCAACTGTCTCTGTGGTCAACGATAGCATTAAAGTGCAACCACTCCTCATTAGTGCCGACAACAAGGTAGGTTCTGCTTTGCCCAGCATTATTTTGTTGGTTCTCAAACACAGGAATTACGTTGCAGATATAAGCAGAATATTCCCCTGGGAGTACAGAGTCCTTTGCAAAGCGATGTCAGTGGTTCCTTTTGAAGAAAATAATCAGAAAGCAGTGGGAAAATCCTTAAGGGGACACTGGGACGCTAGTAGACATTTATCTGTGTACTTCCATATTTTTTTATGAGGAATAAAATTAAGCAGGATGTAGCCTGATATTAATGGGACCATATGATCTTCCATTTCCTTAAATCAATCCTCACTAATAATATCCCTGAATTCTGTGCAGACTCAAATTTCCTATGGACTCCCTCTTCAATTATACAGTGATATTAGTTATATCGACTGACCCCAGGGGAGCATATCAAATAATCAGGCATTCTCTTCTACACTTTCAAGGGAAGACCAAATGAAATGAGAGCTCAGGGTTTCAAAACTGATCAGCAGATGAATCAATAGGAAAAAATCAAGTTATGAATTACTTGTTTCCTCTTTGTACTGCTTTTCAGCTTTGTACTGCTTTTCAGCTTTGAAATGCAAGAACTTCACCACTGATAGCAGAAACAGATTCAATAAATGCTGACAATGTGCCCAACAGACATTCGGTGTTATTTACTACTGGGATCCTGCTACTTTGGGTCTTGCTGGCAGCACAGGTGCTCATACAGTGCTAAAAAAGAATACAGGATGTAGGATAGCTTTTGAGGTAAATAAAAGCAGACATCTCTTCCTCACTTCTCTAACATAATTTATTTTTGTCTACTTAAACTGGCTGCTGGTTAAGAAAACCATCCCTTTTTATGCTCTTGAATCTTCTAGAGTGACTGAGTTGAGATAAAGTATCCAATAATTAAATAACAGTGATTGAAAGTTAGCGATGAAATAGATGGAAAAGGCCTAGCGTTCAAATCCAATAACCTTCCTCAAGAAGGTGAGCTTGGGAAGGTCTTCCATCGTCTTTCACAAAGCTTTGATTGTGGGTTTAAAGTCACACGTGTAGTTCTGTGGTCAGAAATTGTCCTTCATTCCTATTAATTTAATAGCTTCTGAAATTGTTATCTGCATCGTGTGAATCTTCCTGTGGTAATTCAAATACGAGCAGCTGGATATACTAACAAACATGCATGTATAAGATATCTGTGTAGTAATTCCTGAAGGTTCTAAATCAGAATGAATATTAATTTAAAATATATATCGTTTATTTTGTTTATTGAAAACTGGACATCCATTGCTCATAACCCATAAATGTTGAGGACTGAACTCTGATCTCAGTCACATGGATAGTACTCAGGAATATCGTCCTTCCCTTCCCCATGTACTTACTCTGAAATGACACTGGCATGACTGAGATCAGACTGTGGTTTTGAATGTGTAGTAATTCCATCTCTTCTACCTGTATGCAAAATAAAATCAAAGGAAAGACCTTAAAATCACTGACAACATGAGTGCTAAAGCTAGGCTGCTGAGTCAGCTTCACAAGTCCTCTAAATAGAAAGTGTCCTGATTTTTCAGAGGCACTGATGTGGTTCCCTTAGGCTGCAGTAGGTTTATAATGCACCTATAAAAAATATTTTTTAGAAACTTAAGTATGAATTTAGAAGCCTAATCTGTGTATCCAGTTTTATATATTTTTGGCTTGTGGCTTGCATCTGTTGTCTCTAGAGGTATCAAGTAACCGTTCAAAGAAGAACCAAAGATTTCAGGCAGAAAAATCCGGTTTCATATAGTGAATTTTCTTCTTTTATTTGTACATTGTTTTTTAGGTTATCATTATTCAGCCTCAAGTCCAAACCCAGACAGAAAGTAAAGTGGAGACAAAGAAACCTCCTGAAGAGTCAGCTCAGGGACCCCCGGCTACCAAAAAGAAAAAGGAGGAAAATCCAGAGGTGATTTTTAATTCCATTTATTTATTTATTTATTAGTACATGAGCTACAGTGTGGTGAAGCAAAGTGATGGGGTCCATTTCTAAACATTTTTCTATATGCATATGTAATTACTGCGTTTGTGCTCATGGTTCTGACAGTTGTTCATCTCTGTATCCAATCACTGCAACTGGGGTGATTTCCCCACCAGTGAGGTGCTCTGACAAACTTGGTTTGCATCGTTCAGACCTTCCAGTGTCACAAAATGTAAGAATTGTGGGTCTCATAATGATCTAGGCACCTTGCACGGGTATAGCTGTATTTCTTGTAAATGGTGTGTATAAGCTTAAGATATTTTATGTTATCAAACATATAACATCGGGCTTAGGGGCCGCATATGAGGTTGAATTAACATTTCTTTTGTAAGCTGGGTTTTTACAAACATTTCTTTTGTAAGCTGAGCTTTTACATCTTCTTTGTAATGAATCTTGCAATTTTTAGATTGTATTTAACAATACAGTTTCTTGCATTTGCTGTGTATATGTCTTCCCACAAGTCTTTCTAGTCTGAAATACATTAAAATCCTTCAAATTGAGTAAGAGAATAGAAAGTAGTTTATAAGATTAAATCTCTTTCATGAACTATATTTGCCATGTGAATTAAAAATAGAAGTCCTTGTAGAAATGGGGTCTCTCTTTAACAGACATTTTGCTTTTTGACTAGGTGTATTCACGTTAGATTGTGTGTACTTTTGAGGCAATTTGAGAAGTTATACAAACTGAATCTACTTCTATTGTGGAAAAGCTCAGCTCATGAAATCTTAACTTTACTAGTCTAATAAATGTGTAACAAGAAAACATCCTTGGAGCTGTAGGTTTAAGAGGATTATTACAATATAAATTTATAATGTTACCTGGAGCATGTGGGTGCTCATTTACGTTCCCGTTTTAAGAGGTTCTTATAGTTAAAGTGGTGTGAGGATAAACAGTGGCTTTTCACCTAGAATATCCCAGCCTTATGCAGAAGTGCTGCAGAACTGCACTTATGAAACCTCCCAAGTTTACAATCTGACTCTCATATGAATCTTCACTGCCACTGAATGGTGGGACTGTAGGGTCCTGTTTTGTTCAGGGAGGTATTTGCAAAAGATGATTTTTTGTGTAGCACCTGGTGGGCAGAAAGGCTAGGAGATCCTGCTTAGAAACAGAATGCTAGAGAAAACAGACATTTTTCTTTGCCTGTAACTTAGCCCTCCAGAAAGAATATTGAGCAAAAAGCTTCTAGAGAGATGCAGGAAAAGACCATGGGACTGGGGACGCTTTTTGGTATAGCATTCATGAATTTAATGAGCTTTTAATTAAATTTCCAACTAGAATATCCTGGCTACCTTTTTTGTAGCCAAGAACGTTGTTCCTGCGGTGTATGCTGGAGGTCTCGGCAAGCATAATTTTCTGGGTAGGATGCTAAAGCTGTACCCTTAAGTATGATGGTTCTTTCTTTTCATAGATTTGTTTTGTGGCCATAAATATATAGGTCTAGTGTTAATTTCTTTTGTTCTTTGAAAGTAAACTTTAGTTGATTATCATGTATTTATGCAATTACTGTAATTAGAACTAACAGCATAATTAGTGTAAATACATGTAATGACATAAATAGAACATGCAATTACAAAATGAAATGTTTTTTTAAAAATCTTTGTTTTGCTTCATGAAAAGACATACTGTGCATTTCTAAAAGCACTCATGGCTTTTAAACAGATGATTAAATTTAAGCCAAAGAGTAACAAAGATACCAAGATATTTTTAAAAAGATATCTCTAGGCACTTCTTTCCACACCTTTATTTATCTTCAAAGCACGAAACTGAGGCAGGAACTCCAATATGGCTCTAGCTAAATGTTAGTCACAACAGACTGGGATTAAACAAATTGAACTGAAAATTTTAAACGAATAAACCAGAAATCTTACCAGTACTCAGGAATCCCTAATGCAGTTACTGAGCATACCTGAATGAACAGAAAAGGCTGAAAATAATTACTGTCTTTTGTTCCTGGCTTGGTCATTCTGCTGGGAAGCTGTGAAGCAGATCCTGAACACAGCCCCCTGCAATATGTGTGTCTTTTGCATAAGCTGGAGATTTCTCCTTTCCCAAGTACATCATCGTTAGACTAAAGCAAACCCCCTTGCGTCCGCCATCTTGCAGCCAGGATGTCTGGACGCCTAGATGTGGAGTAGCTTTCCCAGAAGCAGGATGGAGGGTCTTGGCCACTGAGGACATCCCAGGTCCCTTGGTTAGAGCCCTCTCCTGGGATATGTGGGTTCAGTCCCCCCAGGGCTGTGGAGGGGCTGGAAGAACGGGCCACCCGCTCCCTGCTGTCAGCGGGACTCTGCTGGGGATGGAGGCCAATAGCTGCCTGTCTAGTGGTGAGCCTTCTCCCACCAGAATGACTTCTGCAAAGGGATGAACGAATCATGCAGGGGAGCTGCTCCTCTGGGGAGCAAGTGCCTGGGGATTTGGGGATTTGGGTTTTCTTTCCTCTTCCTCTTCCTCTTCCTCTTCCTC